GTTATGTCAAAAAAAAAAAAAAAAAAAATGAATGAAAAACAAAAAGTAAGAAAATTTTGTATATACTTGCATTGTACATATTATTTTTCATTTCTTGCACTGTACATCTTCTTTCATTGCATTTTATTTTCTTTATTTTTATTTTTCTTTTATTTTGTTCATACATTTTATTCTTTATTTTTCTTGCATTTTGTATATACTTGCTTTCATAAAAAAAATAAAAAAAAAGTAAAATATAAAAACTTTTCACCACTGTGCCTTTATGTGTAGTCATGCATATCTTATGCTTTAGTTAGGGCTTGATCTCATATCTCTCATTCATATTGTGCTATATTGCCTTAGAATGCTTGATTTACTTATCTTATCCCATTTGATATTTGACGTGAGTTGCTAGTGTGGTTATACAAATAGGATTGTTGATTCCAAGTTTGAGGGAGACCCTTTTCATATTAGATGATTGCCGGGCTTCATGCTTTCACCACCACAGTATACTCTTTCCATCTTTTCCATTGTTCTCATTGCACATTGATGACAATGTGCGGTTTAAGTTTGGGGGTAAGGTGACTTTGTTGCATTCTACATAAGTTTGAGACTTTAAATGCATGATTGAGTTTCAGATCAATGTTAGCTATGATTTTGATATTTGGAGGACTATATTGCTTAAAATTTAAAAATTGCTTGACTTGAGAGTCCAATATTCCTTGTATGCCTTGTGGATGCCATTTAGGAGTAACTTTTTTGAAAAATTGATATCTTGCTTGCACTTGTGATCCACATCATCTTGATTTCGTGATTGTTTTGAGATTCACTCTAGGATTCTACACTAGCACAGGCGCACACTAGCATTCATTTGTGGGGTATATGCTTTGTTGATTATTGAATTGGTTATATCCCAATTTGGCTAGTAGTGCATTGAAAACTTTCATTCTTGATAAAGGTAGATAACAACCCCTTTTCACTAAGTAGTCGGGATTCTAGCCTCATCAAGCATTGAACTTCTCGCGCCAAAAGGTGGAGGGCCCAAACTCTAGGTTAATAATTGAATACAAATAAGTGAGGACTTCTCCCAAAAGGTGAGAAGTGGGAAATGATTAGATGGAGGTTGTCTTGATTTGTAGCCTAGTTGATTTGAGCTTGTAAGTTTGTAGGGGTGTTTGAACACCTAATGCCCTAAAGTCGTCCGGTTTGGGAGTCATTGACCTAACGCTCGACCTTATGAATCGCTAGAAAGCTTAATAGATCAACACATTACACCATGCTTCCATCTTTGATCCTCAATAAAAAAAAATTTGAGTGAAAAGAATAAGCGCACCTAGAACAATAAAGCTTTAATAAAAGGTCCACTTTTTGTCTTGATGATCGGTACTAGATTTGTGTGCTAGTTTAAGGGTAAGGATGTGATTAATTCTTTAGTTGGCTAAGATAGCAACATATTTGATGCCGGTCCACTCAAAAAGGATTCTAGAGTTGTTTCGATTTTCATGATCATTTTCTTGATGTGTGGAAGACCATACTTGCTTACTTGATGTTGAGATTTTGGGAGATTGCTTGGAAAGGGTTGAAAAATTGCATACTTGAGGTAGTTTTCTCCCGATGCTTGTTTGCAATATTGGTGCCTCTTTTGTGAGAATGAGTTTAATGTTTGTGGGTATCATTTCTGGAAACCCTCATGAGACTTCACTCATCTACTAGGGGTAACCTAAAGATTTAAAAGGCTTGTTGCATGTGCTAAATGCAATCGTGTTCTCTACGAAAGTGGCGTTATCCATTTATTGCTTTCTAGATTCATAGTTGTATAGTTGTTCATTTCATTCCTTTACCTTGTAATTCATTTCTAGGGACTAGCAATATTTAAGTTTGGGGCTGTGATGAGCGCTAAAAAGTGCGCATTTAAACCCCCTAAGCGAGGGTATTTTAGTTCATTTATCTATCTTTATTTACCTATTTTAGTACTTATTTGTGTTTTTGTCTATTTCAGGTCAATAATGTTAAAACAAGCTAAAAATGGTTTCTTAAGGCCTTTTTGGGGTCAAACTAAGTCTTAGTGATGATTTGGAGCAAAAGGAGATTGATCTGGAGTAAAAAGAGGCTGATGTTGAAAAGCTGCCAAGTGAGAACGATCGTGAGAACGATCAAACTTTGATCGATCGAACTTTTCTCTGGTCGATCGAACTTTTCTGAGATCGATCGTAAATGTACTGGCAGCGAGCTGTCTTATTCCTGCGCGCCCCCGAACTCCCACCTACCACATAGTACAGGATTAGATATTTTTGGGGCTATATTTCTGACTTAATGGCTAAGAAAATGATCTTCTATATAAAGGGAAGTGACCCATTTTGTAAAAGAGCTTTTTATCATTTTATTTTTACATTGTAATTTTAGTTTTTCTCTCTAGAAAGTTAGAGATTAGGGTTAGAAGAAAAGAGGGAAGTGGAAGCACATCTCAAGAACCCATCTCTAGATCTATACACACACTCTCTCTAGAGCTTCAAAGAAGAAGAAGAAGAAGAAGATGGAGCCATGTTTGGAGCTTACCCTTGAGGGTTTTATAACAACATCGACCTCCTCCATGATTGGCTAGATCTACACTTAGGGCTTGGATGAGCCCTAAGTCTTGTGTAATCTAAACCCTTGTATTTCTATTTTTGGGGATTTATATATATATTGTTGTGATTAGTGTTCTAGCCTTGTGAATTTAATGAATCTTGATATATTTTTATAATTTATATGGTTTAATTCTTCCTATTAATTCTCTAGTTTATTTACATGTCTATGTGTGATTAAATTAGGAATTATTTCTTACATGATTTATATGGATTAATTCTTTCCATTGATTCTCTATTTGATTATATGTTGTCTTATGTGTGATTATTTGGGAATTAATCTCTACACTAGATTTTCTATATTGGTTGCATGTCTATGTGTGATTAATTAAGGATTTAGTGATAGCTAAGCATGGGTTTTTATTAGATGGGTTTGTCAATTAATTTGATGGATTATTCTTATGCTTGATGGGTTGTTCAACAATTTAATTCATGTTTTGTAGGTAGGTAGACAATCTATACTTGATTTGATATTCCATGGATTATTATTGCAAATTCCATGATTCTCTAGATTGATGTGTGCTACAATTGTGACTAGTTTGATGGGTCATGCTTAAATTTGATGGGTTGTTCTACACTTAGTTTATTTGTTGGTTAAGTAGACAATTCATACATGAATTTGATAGTCCATGCTTAATATTGCAATTGATAGTCGCATTTTGTTCACAATAATGTATTCCCCATTAATGGAAAGCAAGTGGTTAATTACATGAGCTTAGTGGTGATTCCAACACCTTAAGACCTCTCTTTATATCTCTTAAATCCTTATCTCAACTTAGTTTTATTTTAATTGCATTTTCATTAATTGAAGTAATTTAATCATCTCATCAAATCTCTTTACAATCTTGTGCTACATTAGAGTCAAAGTTAAATTCCAACACGTATAATCCCTTGGGACGATCCCTATTCACTCTTGCTACATTAGTAGTAGTGGTGGTAGTGGTTTTTATAAATTTAAATTTGACCTAAAAGGCTTTTCTTGAACTGCACATTCACTCCATTATTTTGACGTATACAAGCGGCCACCGTCAAAAGATATCATCATTGTTGGTATAGAAGCCATCTTCATAGACTGCCAATTAGCATATTCAATCTTCAAAACCCTAAAAGCTACCACAAGGTAGGAGAACCAAGAGAGAGATCTTCAATGTGTGTTTTCATTTTCTTTTATAGTGGAGAATGAGTCATAATCCCCTTCGATGGGATTTACAGCTTTTGGAGACATCTGGGCTCATATAGAAACAAAGAAGGGTGATTTTACATCATTCTTGCATGTATTTTTAATTTCAGGGAAAATAGCGCTCGAGCCCTAAATCCATACTTACCAAAATTTTCTAAAGCTTCAATGGCGCTCGAGCTCTATAGCGCTCGATCTTTGTTTTCAGCACTTAGTTTTTTCTCAGCAAATTTTTCTAAAGTTATAATGCTATTTTGACATGTATGGAGTACGAATCTCGAAATTTATATTAGACACAAAAATGATGTGCTTCGAGTCTTCTTTCCATATCCTCTAAGTTTGCCTAATTTCGAGTTGCGAATAAAAAATTATGCCCAAAATACTGAAGTAGGTCTGGAATTTTTCTTTCCGGTTGTGTCCTGAATTGATTCGGAATGCCCCGACCATCTACTTAAGTACCGGAAACATCGCAATAAGCTTTAAATACATGGAATTGGAAGTATCTTTGGGTAAAAACCTACAAAAAACAAATGAACAAAAATAAACATAAGAACCGGATAAAAGTATCATTGAGACATTAACATATGCACGTTTAAGAGCAAATTCTATCACGCAATTACCCTTTTACCCTTTTTCTCTCAAAAAAGGCGATCTGTTCATTAGGGTTTGCATGTTAACTTGGTGGCCGGGCCAAAGACAATGGTAATGGAGGAGGGTCAACCTTCCTCATCTATTCCGCCGGCGAGCTCTCCATGTCGGAATCCAGCCTCACCCACTTCTTGGTGCCATTTCTTTCATCAGATTTCCAGAATTTGACTTATCACAGTGATGTACAAGGGAAGAAAATCTCGATTAAAGAAGAAGATGTTGCAAAAGAAATTAAATATTGGTCCTCATCTATGGTTGGCTATATGATGGGGAAGAAACTTTATTATCATCACTTTAAGTCGTTTGTGGAAAAACGATGGTCCAAAAATTTTACACTGAGATATTTGAAAGATGATTTCTTTTTGGTTAGATTCCATGATGATACAGACGTGAAGCAAGTTTTGTCTCGAATCCACACTTTTGAGGGACGGCCAATCATCCTCAAACGTTAGAGTAAGAATGTTAATCTCGTTAAAGAAGTATTGGAATTGGTCCCTATTTGGTTAAAGATTTACTGTAGGAAAGAACAAGTCATTTCTATGATTTGTTTTTCCTTTGCTAAGCCTATCTATATGGATAATACTGAATCAAATAGGGACAAAGGTCGATATTTACGAGTTATAGTCGAAGTCGATGTGAAGGAAGAATTACCAGATAAAATGGAAGTGGACATTTATGGGGTTGATTGTGTTCTTCAATTTGAATATAAGTGGAAACCACAAATTTGTACCCTCTGCCAAAGGGTTGATCATATTTCTGAAAGGTGTCCTCAAAAAGTTTTACAAGTCAAGCCGAAGAAGAAGAAGTTGGTTGATAAATGGGTGGTAAAACAAAAGGGACAATTGGGAGTTCAAGATGTTGATAAGGTGTTTGAGGAAAAAGATGTTAGAGATGACTGTGATACTAGGAACAATTTGTTTGTTCCTCTCCAAACCTTAAATTCTTTTCAAGTTTTATAGAATGAAGAAGCACAGAAAGAAACCGAAGAGGATAATCTAAAGGAAGAGGGTGCGATAAATCATATAGAAGAAGTTTTAGAGACTCCTACAAAGGACCTACAGGTGGAGACATTTCAAGCTTTACAAGGACACACACCTGATCTAGCTGGGCGTACAGAAGAAATCATTTAGTCTGGTTCTATCATCATAAAAAATAGGTTTGATAAGAAGGTTTCATCTTTAAAGGGTTTACCATCTGATGCACAAGGTGAGATTGTATATGTCTCAAGTGATGAAGCAGTAGATCTTGAGGATCCAGCACGAAACCAAAATACATCTAAGGATGTTCTTTATTTCTCCTCCAATTCAAAAGAAATTTCACAGAAAATCAATAACAAAGAGAAGATTATAGGTTTTCTGCTTCTCAAAGAGTGACTCGGAGTCAAGGGGGTGTTTCCTTCCCTCCTCCCTCTCAATAATCATATCATGGAATGTGAGGGGCTTGAATAAGCCCAGACTAAAAGAGAGGTTCGCCAGTGGATAAAATCCAATGACTCTCATTTTGTTTGTCTTCAAGAAACAAGGGTTCGAAAATCTAAGTTTGGTTCTATTACAAAGAAAATTAATAAAAGATGGAACTGGATTCATAACTATAACTCTCATGAGTTAGGTAGGTTATGGATAGGCTGGGATCCATTGATGTTTGCAGTTACTGTGGTTAATGAGATGGATCAGTGTTTATTGCTTAAAATCTATATTTTACAAACTGGTAAGATGATGTTCTGTACTCCTGTGTATGCCTTTAATACTATAGCTGGAAGAAGAAGATTATGGGGCCAATTGATTATTCAATCCTCTATTGTTAATGGCCCATGGTTGGTTGTTGGGGACTGGAATGCTACTAGATTTCACTTAGATAAAAAAGGGGGTCGAATGGTTCCACAAAATCTCTTTGCTGAATTCAATGATTACTTGCAATATGCTGGTTTAATTGAACTATTTGCTACCAATGGAGAATGGACATGGTGTAATAGACAAGGAAGTGAAAGAAGAATTTTGGCAAAGCTTGATAGAGTTTTTACAAATAATGCTTGGCTACAAATGTTCACAGGTACAAAGATTTCCTATTCTGCTTCAACATCATCTGATCATTATGGAGTTGTTATCAATATTTTTAGACAATTTGTAAGTGGCCCAATGCCCTTCAAAATGCTAAAAATCTGGTGTCTTCATTAGGCATCTCTTAAGTGATTAAACAAGCCTGGGATGAACCTATAATTGGTACTCCATTACATATTCTTCTCAAAAAACTCAGGAATGTCAAAGCTGCTGTCAAAACATAGAATAAGAATTCTTTTGGAGATATAGAAGAGAGGGTTTTGAGTTTTAAAAAGACATTGGAGGAGATTCAATTATCACTTCTTGACAACCCTTCAAATGAACTATTTGTCAGAAAGAACCATGCTAAGGAAGACTACAATGATGCATTATCTTCACAACAGATTTTGTATGCCCAAAAATCCAGAATTCTCTGGCTTAAGGACAATGATCGATGCACAGCCTTTTTCTACTCTAAGATGAAACAACACAATCAGTTTAATGCAATTACTTCTGTGGAAACTACGAATGGTCAGGTTACAACTGTTTCAGAGGTGATCAAAAAGACCTTTGTTGATTATTATCAGAATCTTTTTTAAGAGACTACAACTGAGAATGACTTTGAAGTTAATCCTAGACACATTTTATCTATAAAAGATAAATTAATTCTGGATTCCTCTATTTCTAATTAAGAGATTAAAACAGTTGTGATGAATTTCAAACCAGATAAGGCTCCTAGTCCAGATGGTTTCCAGCTAGGTTCTATCAATCTTTTTGGTCTATTGTTCAACCTGAAGTTTGTGCAGCAATCCAATATTTCTTCACTGAAGATTCCCTTCCAATTGGGGTGAGCAGTTTTTTTCTTACTTTAATTCCTAAAGTTGGAAATGCAGAAAAGCCTAAAGATTTCAGACCTATAGCATTATGCAACCTCATCTATAAAATCATTTAAAAAATTCTTGCTGCTAGACTCTTTATGGTGCTACCTAATTTAGTAGGATTGGAGCAAAGTGCCTTCATTAAAGGTAGAAAAATTCAAGATGCAATTATAATGGGGCATGAAATGGTTAGTGATTTCAGTTTTAAATATCCAATCATGGCCTTGAAAGCTGATGTCTCTAAGGAATTTGATTCAGTCTCCTAAAGTTTTTTACTAAATATTTTGAAAGCCTCTGGTTTTAGCTCTCATTGGCTGAACTGGATTACAATTATTCTAAATTCCACAAGATACTCTATTTTGGTTAATGGTTCCCCAACAAGTTTTATTCAACCATCAAAAGGATTAAGACAAGGCTGCCCTCTTTCCCCTCTTCTCTTCACTCTGGTTGCAGATCAACTCACGCAGCTCATTAGCACAGCAGTCCCAAATGGGAATCTTGTTTTGTCTAAAACTTTATAGAAAACAAATTCAACTTGATGTCATACCTTCTTTGCAGATGATCTTTTGATCACTTGTAAAGCTACTATCTCTAATGCTAGAGTCATTCAAGACATTTTCAAAGACTTTGGTGTTGCCTCAGGTTTAAATATCAGTTTTCCAAAGAGTAGTGTGATTTTTTCAAAATATGTTTGAAGAAGAAGAGCAATCTTGCATTTGTTTAATTGCAAAGAGGAAACGTTGCCTTTGAAATATTTGGGCATTTTATTATGTTCTACTGGTTTAAAAAGGCCCCATTGCAATGCTCTCATTGATAAAATTTCTAAGAAACTCAATGACTGGAGTACAAGATTGTTATCACTTGCAGGCAAAACAGAATTGATCAAAACTGTTATTACTCCAACTTGTTTGTACTGGTGCAGTGTCTTCCAGCTGCCTATATCCATCATCAATCAAATTCAAAAGCTATGTAGAGACTTTGTATGGAGTAACAGGGATAACTTGAAGAAGATGCATCTATTAAGCTGGGACATGATGTGTAGATCAAAATCTGAAGGGGGGCTAGGGATTCTAAAACTGAAGGATTTACAAGTTGCTTCTCATTGTGTTTTGGCTTAGGATTTCTTGCTAAGTAAAGATCGACTTTGGGTTCCTTGGTTTCAAAAAAGGTATGCAGCCAATTCAATATATTGGAATGCAGTTCCAAAGGTTTCTTATTCAATTTTGTGGAAAAATTTAATTAATGTCAGGGACATTATGCTGCATAACATCTAATTCTCAATTGGTACTAGGCAGCCATTTAAGGTATTGACAGATCCTTGGTGTGAGGGGGAAACTCTTCTACAGAAATTTGGTCACAGAAAGGTTAGAAGGCTAGGATTTTCACGGTCTTCTCCTTTGTCCAGTCTTTTAATCAATGGTGGTTGGAATTTTGATCTCTTGCAAGATGAAATTTTCAGGCCTATTAAAGATTATTTGCTTACATTGCCTATTCATGCTAGATCAGATAAGTTCCTATGGGATGGTGGTAATTTTGTTTTCAAGAAAGCTTGGCAGGGATGTAGAGTTACTACTCCAGATGTCATTTGGTCCAAAATTTGTTAGGGGAAGGCCAGGCCTCGATGGTCCATTCATGGTGTCTTTTTATTTCAAGATAGATTACCTACAATGTACAATTTGCAGAGGAGGAAAGTGCGATTAGCTTCAAGATGTTTTAATTGTTTACATCAGATTGATACCAGAAATCACATTTGTGTTCAATGCCCTTTTGCTAGACATTTCTGGAATTGGTTGAAGGATACTCTTGGATTGGGGTTGGATTTAGGTTCAATTCATACTATTGAGGACATGTTATGGTTCACACAACAGACTAGCAAAATGATTCAAACTTTATTTGTTGCTAGCTGCTAGAGTATTTGGAAAGAAATAAATAGAAGACTACACGGAAAAAATTCTAGTCCCACCTCTGAGGTGGCTAGACAAATTATGTTTGAGGTCTTAGATGTTTACAATGTCTCTCTTAGAGACATTCTCTAGATAACAACTTCTTTATTTTCTGTTATTTACTGGAAATGTTTCTTCATTAAGACTTTGTACTTTCTAGTAAAATTCTGAGGGTATGCCCTCTGTGCACATGTAAATGCTTATCTTTTCCTTTTATACAAAAACCATTTATGAATATATATATATATATATATATATATATATATATATATATGCATGTTTAAGGGCTTGAATATGCAATATTCATTGCTTATCAACACATACATTTTGGTCCTAGTAAGAGAGAGATGATAATCATATTTCATTACTTAGGCACAAAGTTTACATTTGTTTTTCTTTACAGCTAGTGTGAGTGTGTATGTGAATATATATATTTTTGTTTACAAGGCAAGAAGTGTTAGAAGTTAGATTAGTACGTAGATGCAGAGAGTTGAGTTAAAGCCTAGTACTTCAACATTCACCGAAGGAACTAACCCACTGGGCTATTGATGTATTTGTGTGTGTATGTGAATGCAAATAGTATGTGTGCACTAGTGGACAAAACAGTGAGATATGCAAGGACAAGGTGGTCCATCCATACAAGAAAAATGTCAGAATACTCCTCTCCAATAATTGGAGGATCTCATCAAATTTTATCCTGAATATAGGGTTGCATTAACATATATTGTAGTATTATATATAGACTATTATAACAGCAGCAACCAAGTGTCTCTTTTGTGAAATTTAAGAGCCCTATTTAAGCTACATTGAGTGTATCTTTTAAGACAGCCATGAACATGATAATTACTGAGTGTACATTAATTAAGAGAGCTAAAATTCACTTTAGAATCAAGACAACCAAGTGGCGGTATGATGATCTAGCGAGATCATCTAACAACCCAGCGCGAGCTGTAGCAGATATAAGGAGTGACATCACATATTTTCGGACAGACGTTCAACAGTCTCTCACTTGACATAGCCGAGAGATGTCCAACATACTCCAGATCATTATAGATATGCTTGAGCCGGATGTTGCGCCATGATTTCACCATTCTCTCTCTCTCTTACTCATCATTGCATTGATACTCTGATACATTTTAATACACTGATTTTTTTTGGGATATTTGTACTGTTTTGATATCTTTGCATTGGTTTTGGATATTACTTTGCGATGCATTAGATACACAAGGTTTTGGATTTACTTTCCAACATGGACTTTTGGGATATTGATATATTTTGACAGAGTTTTGGATATTCTGAGCTTGATATTGCTGCATGCCATGATGATTTATACCCATTCTTTCCCAGTTTTCCATTCTATCTCTCAGTTCTATCATTAATGCATATGCTTTGATAGTTTTTAGTGTGACCATTTTCAGACAGGTTTTTGGAATCTAAGTTTGGAGGTGCGCCCTTCAATGCCAAGCTTCCATTGCCGGGTCCTATTTGCTATGCCCATTTGGTATACTCTTTCCACTATCTGTTGCTATCTTTATACATTAAGGACAATGCACAGATTAAGTTGGGGGTGTGTTAGCATAATTTTAACATGTTGCACTTATTTTCTATACAAGTGATATGATTTGAGAGCTTAGCGATGATTTTGATCTTTTGAGGACCATGATGCTTAGAATTTAAAAAAATAAATTGCTTGACTTTTGAGTTCAATACTCCTTGTATGCCTTTTGGAAGTCATTTTTGGGCAAATTTTTTCAAAAGATTGACATCTTGCTTGTTTTTGTAGTCCACATTATCGTGTTTATGAGATTACTTTAAGATTCACTCTAGAGTTCTACATTAGCACATGCGCACACTAGCATTCATTTGTGGGGTACATGCTTTGTTGATTATTGATTTGGTTATATCCCAATTGAGCTAGTAGTGCTTTGAAAGCTTTCATTCTTGACAAGATGACCTTGTATGCTAAATAACAAACCTTTATTGAGTAACCGGGATTCATGCCTCATTAAGCACTGAACTGTCGCATGAAAGGTGAAGGCCCACACAATAGTCTAAACAAATAATAATAATAATAATAATTTTGAATGATGTTTACAAAAACAAATAAAGTGAGTGAAAAGTAAGAAATGATTAGATGAAAGTTGTTTTGATTTATAGGCTAGTTGATTCGAGCTTGTAAGTTCTTAGGGGTGTCTCTACACCTAATGCCCTAAAGCCGTCCGATTTGGGAATCATTGACTTAACGCTCGCTAAATGGATCTTGTAGAAAGCTTGATGAGCGCTGAAAAGTACACATTTAAACCCCTTAAGTTTGAGTATTGTAGGACCTTTATTTATCTTATTTACCCGTTTTAGTACTTATTTGTGTTTTTGTCTATTTCAGGTCAATAATGTTAAAATGGGCTAAAAATGAGTTCTTAAGGCCTTTTTGGAGTCAAACTAAGTCTTAGCGATGATCCGGAGCAAAAAGAGGCTGATTTAGAGCAAAAAGAAGCTGATACTGAAAAGCTGAAAAGTTGGATGGATCGCAGAGAAAGTTGGATCGATCGAAGTTTTAGTTGGATCAATCGAAAAAGTTGGATCGATCAGAAAAGTTGGATCGATCGAAAAATAAGTTGGATCGATCGAAAAAGTTGGATCGATCGAAAATAAGTTGGATCGATCGAACTGGACATGCTGGCAGCAAGCTGTCACTTTTTCCGTGCGCGCCCAAAAGTTCACCTACCAAAAAGTTGCGGGATTAGATATTTTTAGGCATATATTCTAGACTTAGTGACT